TGCCCATCAACAAAACCACATTAACCAAGAGGCTTAGAAGAAGGGTGTTCCAGTTAACTGGATTTTCTGGGTATCAGTAACTTGCAAAGTCTTTCTAAAAGATTTGACTATAATAACAAAAAGTTAGAATGGAAAAATCTATGTCTCTGTCAATAAGATATTGTTTTGTGCTGTCGAGTTGCTTGCAACTCATTGTACAACAGCTCTGGACTCTGCTCTATCTTGTGCCAATCTTACTGTCTCTGATACACCTCCAGCAAGAAACTCAAACCCTTAATCCTACAATCAGTGAGGAAATGAATGCTGCCAGAAATCATAGAAGCTTGAAAGCAAATCCTTCTCTGGTCAAGCCTTCAGATGAGAATGCAGGCCTGACCCATACCGTGACTTTGGCCTTGCTGAGAACCCAGCCTAGCCACACCAGGACTCTTAAGTCACAGACGCTAGAAAATGTGTTTAAGCTGAATATGTGGTAATACAGCTACACAGAAATAAATAACACAAGAGGAGAGCTCAAGGGATTTGCAGTAGGAATTAGTATGGAAAAGAGAATCTAGATAGATTTATGGGTTATGTGGCTCTGGGAGGTCACTTAACATATTCCTCTGGCCTTGCTTTTTCTTTGCAACACGGTAGTTATTACTAATGACATGCTTATTCCGTACTTGGCACCATCTTATGCACTTAATACATAAGACTCATTTCATCATCACCACCACTCTCTGAGATAGCTGCTGTCCACTTCAACTCAGGGTGATCTTATATACAATATAACAAAACATGGCCCTGGCCAATGTCAAATTCTTAATTACCAGAATGTTCAAGAGTCCACTGTGGCAGCTGCTATACCAGTCTATCCCATTGAGGGTTGCACTGGCCAAACATGACGTACTCCTCCAGCAAGTGGTCATCACTCCTGATGACATGTCTGGAGCAAGTGACCAGTATGGCTCACCATAGCTGATTTCGGAAAGACTTTTCCTCACTAATCTGTCTAAATCTGAGAACTCCACTGAAACCTGTCCATCTCAGGGGACCCTGCTGGTATTTGAAACACCGGTGGGCAGCTTCCAGCATCACAGCAACACACAAACCATCAAAGTATGACTGAGACAGGTTGGGGGAAAAGAGAAAGAAAAACAACCCCACACCTGTTGCTGCCGTGTTGATTCTGAGAGCGATTCTGTGGCACAGGGAAGTGCCTCCAGTACTGGTCAGGCTGTCATCTTTACAGGAGCGAGAAGTCGTGCATTATTTCCCCAAGGAGCAACTCACTCACTTGCTGCCACTGAGTTGGTTCTGACCCACAGCAACCTTCGGCTGCGTTTTCAAGGCTGTAAAGCTTAACAGGAGGAGACTGCCCATTGAGACTCCCAAAGAACAGCTGATGGACTCAGACTGCCAGAGACGTGCAACCTTCAGCCCAGCGATGCAATGCCCTTGAGGATATGCCACTGGAGCAGCTAATTGGGTTCAGATCGCCAAGGATTTCTGAGGTGGGTACTCAAAAAGATGGGGAGATGTAACCAAAGACACAGAGTTCCTAAGTGGCAGAGCTGGGATGTGAACCCAGGCAGTTTGGCCACAGGATTTAGCATGGAATGCTTTAACCAGGGTGCTTTATCCCTCTTAAGCAGTATTACTGACAGCACCTACTTGATACATGAAGTCCCCAATCGACTTAACGTTGATAAATAAAGCCATAATGTGGCAGATTTATCAATGACCAAGGGATGGGCTTTATTCCACAGGGGACCAGAAGTGATAAATGCCTCACAGACATAAAGTGGGCACAACAGAGCTGCCCCTTCCTATGAAAGCAGGGGGGGTGGGATTGGGGTGGAGACCAACTTTCCTTCACAGCAGTTTGAAAGGAGGAAGATATGTCGATTCAGAACTGACTCATAGCTGACCCTCCCAAAGGGATTTCAGAGGCTGTTGAGGGTTGCCCGTCCTCCTGCAGAGCAAGTTAGTGGATTCAAAGTGTGGGTCTTTGGGTTGGCAGCGCACCTCCTTACCACTGAGCCACCAGAGCCCAAGACAATTCTTTGGACCAGTTTTACTCTGTCATAGGATTGTTGAGAATCAGGATCAACTTGATGGAACCCAATCTTCAAGTTGCTTTTGAAAAGATTCAAAGCAAGTAGAAACAGGAAAATATAGAGAGTATTAAACTCACCTGTTACACTGCACAGCTTAGCAAAAGACTGAAAATAGTCCTGTATCTTATGCTACATAACAAATCAACCCAAAGGAGTGTGTTTGGGGCTCCTGGCTTTTCACTGGCTGCAACTGAGGTATTGCCAAAGCTGTCACATCATCCTCAGTTCACTGGAAAAGTCCATTTTCAAGTCGGCAGGATTCAGTCTGGAGGCTACTGGGCTAAGGACCTCAGTTCCTTGTAGGCTGTTAGCCAGATGCTAATTGGCCTCTCCCTAGTGAAGCTCACAACACAGCAGGTCCCTTTGCAAGACCACTGTTGCAACATCACTGTAACGCAATCATGGAGCTCACGCCTCATCATGCTTGCTTTATTCTGTTGGTTAGAGGGAAGTAATTTTCTTCCACCCACACTCAAGGGAGGAGGACTATCCAAGGATGTGAATCCCAGAAAGTAGGGGCCACAGGAATCACCTTAAATCCATTCACAGGCCCCTACTGTAGAGATAGCAGCTCAGGTCTCATAAACTCCCAAACCCCAACACTCCTCTCTACCATCCTTGTATTCACCTCCCAACCCAACTCTTTAACAATTTGCAAACTCTAGTCAAAACCAAGACTGCCTGGAGTGGCGTTTCTAGTTTTCCTGAGGACCTTAAGCTTCGAGTTTGGCTTACAGCCGGTCACCAAGAGCAAACTATCCGATGCCCCAGCAGATGTGAGGCACCCTACAGTTACATTCTTGACGGCTGCTCACTGATCACCTGCTGCCCCCTCTTCCTCAGAGCTAAAAGTTCTGGGTATGTTACTTGACTTGATCATCTACCAACAGTTGCCACTGAAAGGATTCCAGCTCACAGTGACCCAACTCTAGTTAGTAGTAATTAGGGCCAAACTATCCAGTAGGCGTTATGTGGCGCTGGTTAAGGAAGGAGCCTGTAGTCACGCATCTAGCCAGCAAGTCTAGATCCAAAGCTTAGCTCTGGGTTCCCAACTGTCCATGGCATAGCTTCTAAGGAAGAGCTTCTGCTAACTGTCTTAGTTCTCACCTCCAAGCACTTGGAAAGATGCAGTTCTTGTTCAAGTGAGTAGTAATGTGGTATGAAATAGATACAGGTTTACTACCCAGAATCCTTTGATGTGCGCCTTGTCCTTGTTCGATGGCTAGGAGGATCCTCAATTTCCACTTTCTCTCCCTACATTCCCAATGGTCGGATAACCGAGCAAGCACTGGGATGGTGCAGGACTGGGAAGCACTTCCTCCTGTGCACATGGAGTCAGCAAGAGCCAGGAGTCAATTTGACCAACAGCGAACAAAAACTGTTCGTGAACCAGAATGATGTTTCCAGAACCAGTGAGAAAAGCTGCATCTCTTACAGCACCTTTAAGCATCTCTTAAGAATTCTTAGGCAAGAAAAGTACAGTACTTCCAGTTCTGCGCATCTGAACCCCTTTCCTATGTAGGCAGGCCTCTCTACTGGGAAGTCTCAGCTGGAAGTTGACCTCTCCTCCACTTGATGTGAAGAGCCACTCTAATACAACCTTTTTTTACCCAAAGATCCCTTAAAGAATTAGGCCCTACAGAGAACAATCTAAGCCTCTTAGTCACAATCTTCCCAAGGATGGTACAGCCTGTACTCTTCTGTGTGCACAGCAAAGAAGGGTCTGGTTGCCTCAAGGCATCAGTGTCTAATACTCCCTTAGCCAAGTCGCCATGCTGGTTCTGGACTTTAAATCGTGCACACCAGCGAATGGACCCTGAAGTCAGATATAAAAGTCCTGATGCCAAAAACACTTTGCATTTTGATAGACACTGACAGAAATAAAAAATATTTATTATTTCTCAATCTTAGGAAATCTGGTCCTACAAACAGGCCAATGCTTTTTTTCAGTTCATGGTCTTGACCCTACACACACACACACACATACACACACACAAAATCTCTCAGCTGAGAGGTAAGACAAGTCAATAAAAGGAATTTCGAGGTGTTCTCAGACACAAGTGTTCTGACAAACCCGTAATCCAGGCAATTCTGGACTTCCAGTTCACTCAGCTTCTTCTGCCTGTCAGTTACAGTCCCTGAAGGAGAAAGTAAGGTGTTTGCAGACAAGGCACTTCAGAAACCTCCAAGGAGAAACCCAGTCAGCCAAAGATCTCCACCACAAGCCCGAGCGCTGCTGTGGACAGGAAGGCGGACCCACGTTCAAGAGCACAGCGCCCACCCTCCCAGGGCCTGCCTTGGCCCTGCACTGTACACGTGGCCTGGAAGACATGGAAAGCATGCATGACAGCAGAGCTGCACATTGTCCTGAGGCCTAGGGCAGTCCTGCACTGGCAGGGGACTGCTTCAGAGGCCCCTACTAGGACACTGAGAAAGCAGTTCCTTTGCAAAAACAAGGAGTTAGTGTAGATCAGCATTTGTAAAGCAAATATTGAAAAGAAAAAGCTGCTTAATACTCCCCTATTTAAGCTGTGACCTATAAACCTGCTACCTGGCAGGTAGGCAGCCCTCCTCGGAAGGCATCGTAAGTGGCTGAAGTCAATGGGGGTGCGGAAAGCTCCCCTTTTGAACAGTGACCGTCCAGTACACATAAACCCCAAGAAGGGCTGATCTGAATCCAGGCAGCAAGTGCAACCCCTTCTTTTTGTTTTTGGGCCTTGTGTTTAATACAAGTCACTGTGATAAAAGAGGACAAGTCTCAGTCTCTCTCATAAGAGGACAGACAGGGCATGTGGCTCTGGGAGCTTTTCTCCTCCTATGTTCTGGTTGGAGACTGGGGTCCCGGGCACTTAGGGTGACAAGGTGCAGCTGACTTCCCAACACCCCCAGTCAGCTGAGGAGCTCGGCATGGAGAAGAGTCATGCTCCAAACACAGAGGCCAGCAGGGAGTGTTTTATCCTCTTTCATTTGGCCAAGATGAAGTGGCTCCTTTCCAGAAGTCATATGAAGAAAAGAATGTGCTCAAGTCAGAACTGGACCCAGCCGGTTCCTGGCTGAGTCTGGCTAGATGGTGACCTGTAAGAAGAATAGGGAGATGTAGGGGGTTAGGTGTTTGAATACACAAAGCAAGTACATTGTCTTCTCTCTCTGTGGACAGAACTCCATGAAGTGAGTCCCTGAATGTTTTAGAGTGGGGTTTAGCAAGCCACAGTCCACAAGACGAACTGGGCACTCAGCTTGTTTTTATAAATAAAATTTTATTGGGACATCCTCAGGTGCATTTATTATTTACCACTATGGCTGCTTTCATGCTGTAACAATAGTATATTTCACCAGCAAGCCCCATATATTTGCTATCTGGGCTCTTAAAGAAAAAGTTCACTGACCCTGTATTAGAGCATACAGACATAATGGTGCAACAGGAATCTGACATTTTTCACCATGACTTAAGTGAAGAAGATCTGATATTTTATAGAGCCAGAGAGGGCAAGAGATCTAAGAGAGGTCTCATGAGGATTTGGGCCAAAGCTGGAAACCAGGCCTTTTGACTGTCAGCCCGGAGTTCCGGGTAGCTGGGGAGAAGGGGAGGGGAGGGGAGAGGGAAGAGCTGAGGACAAATGAGGCATTTAGTGAGAAGGTTTTAAAGACCACAAAGATTTGCCAAAGATGGTCCCAGGCTACCTAACGGTGGAGAGCAGCCCAAAGCCTTCTATGCTCTGGCTAGCCTAAAAACAGCCAAAGCTGAGCTGCTGTGTAGAAATGAACCAGCCAGAATGGAGGTGCGAGAGCAGTGCAGGTTTTTAGAGAAGTGCCCTGAACCCAGTTCCACCGCGGGAACAAAAGCTCCTCACCCTGTGGACTTGGTGAAGTCCCCCCAGATGTCAGCGGGGGCAGGCACGGACTGCGGCCAGGACACAGCTGCACCTCCTACTGTCCAAGGGGGTTGGGGGAAAAGAGAAGGAGAGAAGAGTTAAGTATTTCTTTATCCGTTTCACCTCTTGTTTTAAAGATCCCCAACAAAGCACCAATGAGGTGCCATGTTTGCAGGGCTCCTGGACAAGAGACAGAAAGCCAGACAAAACAGAGAGTAGAGGTGCGGCAGCGACGGCGAGCTGCACGTCAACACCACTCTCACCTAAAGATGACTTTGGTTTCAGTCATTTATGCAAAAAATCTGTCCAAAACTTACTGAAGAGTCAATTTCTTGAGTGTGAGAACAAACCCACAAGTCATGTTCACGTAAGGTCCTCAGTCAAGCATGTGCGTCAACAAATACTTGCTGGGCGCACATCCTGGGTGGGACATCTGCTTGAGGCACTGAGGCAGGCCTCTCCAGGAGTGACAAGGCAGCTGACAGCTCTGTGTGTCTGCTCACATGGTGGGCGCCAGGGTGATACTGACATGCTTGGGCCAGTGCTGCAAACGGTTCCTTCTGAAAATCGCTATCCTGCCACCCTCCACCTTCCCTCCAGTTTGCTATTTCTTATCTGCTGTGGGCTGGGAGGCTAGAAAAAACCAAAGCCCACAACGGGTTACTGTTTTACAGTTAACCATGTACTCATTATCTAATCTGAAACTCATCCTTGCCCCTGGTGACTTTGTCAGTTCATTTAAGTCTGTTTCCTTAGCTCGAACAAGGGGACAGTAATAGGACTACTTCACAGGATCAGAATGAGGGTTAAATGGGTTCATCTATGAACAAGTACAATATTGCCTATAATGACATTATTAGTAAAATGCAAGCTGACATTTAGTGAACATCACAATAATCTTGCAGGTGACTCAAAAGCACCTAACAACCACCACCCCCAAGGCAGTGTTCCAAGTGCTGCAACTGGATTAACTCATTTGATGACCATAACAAAGCTATTCTTTAGTTATTATCAACATCTTCGAGATGAGAAACTGAAACACAGAGAAGTGAGCACGTTTCTGAAAATCCCACAGCCAGTGGGCTAAAATCTGAATTCCAGTAGTTTGGCTTTAGAACACAGAATGAGTACTTGATAAATGTCAGTTCTGAAAACCCGTCAGAGGGTTAGCTATAGGTCGGTTCCAACTTGATAGGACACCACACAGGAGCATTCACGACTTAGTATCTGAAACCATTTTGCTTGGAGACATGCCAACTGCTTGTCTGGGACATTAGAATGGAAGCTCTGGAGGGCAGGGACTTGGTGCAGGACCTCCGTGCCAGGCACTCCACTTTATCATTTCAAAACCACCAGGAGGAAGGTCCAGATAAAGGGGGTGAAAATGTAGACCAAAACGCAAAATGGCCAGGCTTAGCCCTGACAACACAGGAGTAAACTGTTGGGCTGCTAACCCAAGGACACAGGTTTGAGTCCACCAGCTGCAGAGGTGAAAGAAAGATGGCCATCTTTCCCTGTAAAGATCTGTATCCTTGGCAGCCTGGTGGAGGGTCACTGTTGAGTTGGACTCAGTGGCACCTGGTTTAGTCTGGAGTTTATCTTAACTTGGGGTAGAGCGTCTGATATAAAAGCTCTGGGAACAGAGTGAACCCAATCTTGTTTGGACAATATAAATGAAAGCATCTGATTTAGGAGTAGAGGTGCCTGGTAAAGAAGAATGAGAATGACTACAACAATGCCATCAATGTCAATGAATTCTCAACATTGTGGAATCACTGTATGTTTTGCTGTGCCTTCTGTTCCATTAAAATTCTAATGCTAGCCCTCTATGAGGTGGATGGATTCAGTGACTGGGATAATCGGAATGGGAGTGTCAGAGAAAGTGCGATTGGCACAGGACAGAGCAGAGTTTAGGGCTGTTGTACATAGGGTCGCTATGAGTCGCAAGCGACTCGACAGCACATAAAAACAACAACAACAACAACAGAATAATAAAAACTACTTTTCATTTGAAATAAGATTTTGAAGCTCCGTCTCACATACTCTGGGCATGTGGCCAGGAGAGACAGGTCCTCGGAGAAGGACATCGAAGGGTGGAGGGGCAGTGCAGGAGAAGAAGACCCCAGATGAGATGGATTGATATAGTAACTGGCAATGGGGGTTGGTGTGTTGGAATTAGTAAGACTGGCTCAGGACAGGGCAGGCTTCAGAGCTGCTGTACATACGGTCACTATGAGTTGCAAGGGACTTGACAGCATGTAACAACAACAATTTAATGTACAGCCTTTAATAAAACAAGGTAGAATGAACCCCTCCCACCCCAAATGGCCAGGCTTTCTGATGTGAAAGAGACTGGTAGACCTCTAAGATTATGTCCCTTAGTCACCCTTTGAACATGAAACAAAATTAACCTATGGCTCAACTTTCGGCTGAACTCGAAAGCTCATTATTACAGTGGGGTTGGAAGTGACTCACAGGTTGACCCTCCAGCAAGTTTCCCAAGACTGTATATCACAAGGAAGGAGACTGTCCATCTTTCTCCCAGGGAAGCGTTAATGGATTTGAACTACCAGAGACGCACCTTTGGGTGAGCAGCTCTACTCTCTATGGAGTGAGCCACCAGAGCTTCCCATGCTGAACAACACAGAGACCTATACAGTGAGTAACACCAGAGAAGCACATGCTCCCTACAATAATCAGCCACATAAAATCAAAAGGAGCAGCATTTGCACAGTGATAGAGGCAAGGCCGGAAGGGGCAGGAGAGAAGGCTTAATAGAATTGAGAGACAGAGAAGAAATGAGAAGTAAGTGTTTACATCATGTTGTTGTTGTTATGTGCCGTCGAGTCGTTTGCGACTCATAGCGATCCTATGTATAACAGCCCTAAACCCTGCTCTATCCTGTGCCAATCGCATTGCCTCTGACACACCCATCCCGATTACCCCAGTCACTGAATCAATCCACCTCATAGAGGCTCTTCCCCTCCTGCGCTGTCCCTCCACTCTACCCAGCATGGTGTCCTTCTCCAAAGACCTCTCTCTCCTTACAACATGCCCAAAGTATGTCAGACGAAGCCCCAGAATCCTTGCCTCCAAGGAGTAGCCTGGTTTAACCCTCTCTAGGATGGATCTGTTTGTTTTCTTGGCAGTCCATGGAACATTCAATACTCTTCTCCAGCACCACAGAGTATAAGTAATTAATACCATAAAACAAAATGTGGATGAATGGTTGAATGCAAAATCAATTTGCTTTGTAAACTTTTACTCAAATCATCATTCACTCATCATCACTCATTGCCGTTGAGTCAGAACTGACTCACAGCAGACCCGCCAGCGGGTGTTCAGGGTTGTAAACTGCACAGGAGGAGATTGACCACTTTTCTCCTACAGATGCTCTGGTGTATTTGAAATGTCAGAGGCACCCACTTTAGGACAGTAACTCAACTCTCTCTCTACGAGGCCAACAGAGCCAGGGGCGGGGTGGGAGTGGGGGGTGCAGAACCAGCAGGAGGAATAACTTGGAAAAGGGGAATGAGAGGTTATACAAGTCACAGGATGTACTCTATGTCACCGAATTGTATGTACAGAAACTTGAATTGGTTTTAATTTTGTGTATACATTCTCATCATTAACAACAAAACATTTATATACATTTGTATATATGGCGGCAGTGGATCTCAGCCCTCAGTAACATCCAAAGAACACGGAGAGCAGCAGTCAGAATAAAGACTCCTGCCTCCTAATCCAAGCAATGTGAAGCAGGCGGTCCTGCACTTTACTTGGAGATACAGTGCTTCAAGTGCTAAACCAAAAGACTGGAGGTTCAAGTACACACAGACGGACCTCGAGGAAAGGCCTGGAGACCTAGTTCTGAAAAATCAGCTACTATCTGTGGAGCACAGATCTGTTCTGACACACGCAGGGCTCTCCAAGTGTCAAGATCAGTTTGATGGCAACCACACTAATTCGCACCACTCTGCACTGACCTGAACTGGAAGCAACTCCTGACTGGGTGAGGGTCCCCTCCACAGACAACTGCTCTCCAGGGGGAGGGATGAGGGTGGGAGCTTTTCCCCCCGGGGGCGGAGGCAGCAGGCTCAGTCCTCCTGTGCTGGCGGGCCGGGGTCGGGGTGTCCCCGCAGCTCCTTCCTTCTTCTTCATGCTCTAGAGAAGGCAGGAATGCAAATGAGTCAGTGCTGCTTGAGTCCCACCTGCTATGAGAGAACCCCAGGAGCAGAGAGCCACTGTCATCTCCACGCCCCAAACATCTGTATAACAAAATGTGGTCAAGAGCAGTGACCCACCTTGATTGTGCTGAGCTGTATTTGATGCCTCACCTTCTAAAACTATGGGGAATGTTTTAAAAAGTGAGCTTCCTTCATGAGCAGAGGAATGCAAACTTAAATTATATAACATTATACACTTACCAAAATCATCACAGTGAAAATTCTCAGTATTGACTAGGGATTAAGAACAACCAGAACATCTGTACACTGTTCGTGCGAGGGTAAACTGGAAAAGGGGAACCTTTCTACTAAAGCTGAGCAATGAGATATGACCCATGGCAGAAACAAACATCTGCACCAAAGGACATGGACTCAAACATTCACAATGACACTGCTTATACCAGTCTCAATATCGGAATTACCCAATGTCCATCAGCAATAAAACAGAAAATTGATATGTATAACCTTACTATGGAATATATCACAACAATGAGGATAAATATATATAACAATGGATGAATCTCATAAATATATTAAATGAAAAAGTCATATACAAAAGAGTATAAAGTCTACAACTCAATTAATAAAAAATAAAGAGAGGCAACATCTAGGGTACTCAAAGCGGCTGGTTCCTCTGGGGTAGATGGAGCAGGAGGAGGGGCTTCCAGCATGCTGGTGCTGCTTCTTAGTCTGGGTGCTGGTTTACCTGGGTAAGTTCTGTTTTTAACTAACTCATTGAGTTCTGTGTTTACGGACTGTACACATTATTTGAGGCATCTTATTAGACGTCATGAAAGAGTCAGGAAAAAAAACAACCAACCAAGTGTGAGCAAGAAACCAGAGTAAGTTTCAAAGATGGAAACAGCATGATTCCCTTCTTCAGGGGAAAGGAGGTGCTGAACCAAATGTGAGACCACAGCTTTGAGTCCAAAGACCTCAACGCTTTTAGTGTGTGTCCTGATTTGCCAGTTACTTCTGTGCTTAAGGTGCTGGCAAGTACTCTAACCTTGCTGAGCTTCAATGTCCTCATCTGTGGAAGGGGGAGATTTATTTCATATGAGAAAGTGCCTGAAAACACTACCTGGCCCACGTAGATGCTCATTAAATGTTAGTTTTCTCCAAGCAAGACCAAGAATCACATCCCAACCAGTCCACTGGTTTGACCTGTATTTTCTCTTAAGGGCCAGTTGGCCAACTTCAAGGGTCCCAAATCATCACCAGCATGAAGCAGAAAAGAGGAGAAAGAGATGGTAAGTAAGGAGGAAGAGCACTGTTTTAGGGTTATAGTTACTTCATTACAAATCCATTAGATCCTTGCTCCCCACCCCAAAATTAGGGCTCTGACTCAATCTCCACCTCCATCCCACTCTTATAGCCAAGCTTTTCCTGAGCTCAGAGGAACTGACTGCTGAGTGTGAGGTACAAAGAGGAGAGAAGGAGCTCAAAGCAAAGACATGGGAACCGATCCATATGACCAGTAAAAGCTGCTCTGCTCGTGACATCCGCTGCTCAGAGGCTCACTGGCAGTCACCCAACCCCTGGGAGCTCCCAAACACTTCCTTATCCAAAGCTCAACGCCTCAACACAGCTTGGGATGAGCACACTGATCCCTCTTCTGATGCCATGCCAGTAATCAGAGAGGCCAGCTCTGAGGGCAAAGACTTGACGTTCCTTCTCAACTCAGAGACTTTGCAAATGCTGTTCTTGCTCAAACCACCTTCTAACCCATTACCTGTATACAGGTCACTTCTTCCAGGAAGCCTCCCTTGGTTCCCTCAACTCTAGGCTGAATGTCCCTCCTCTGGATGCATTCAGGACACCCCAGTCCAGGGTATCCTCTCCCATCCTGTTGTACTGAGGACCTCTCTCATTCTGTTATACTGCATCTTCTATTGTCTGCCTCAGCTCAACTCTGAATTTGTAAGAGCACAGGACTCTTGTTAGCCCCTGGTGAAGCACACAGCACAAGGCAGGTTCTCAATAAACATCTGCTGAACTGATGGAACTAAACTGTGAGAAAGGAAACATGGGTTCTGGCTTGGCTTGGCTTTGACTACTGTATGTAACCACTCGGCCAAGGTCAAAACAGTGAAAAGAGTGTAGGACTCACCGCAATGTTGAGCTTGATAGTCTGCCCTTCCTTGAAACCCAGGTCCAATTTGGGGCCTTGGTCTGGGTTCTGGGCTTGTTTTGCAAATTCACTCTGCTGTTTCACCCACCTGAGGAGAGAACCAACATAAAAAGGTGAGGAAGGATGAGATCTAGTGCACTGCACTCATTCATCTTCTGCCATTGGCCCAGGCTGAGACATTTGAGGCAGAAAGTACACAGGTAGGGACTTAGGTCTGAATTCAAATTCTGGCTCTGACAGCTGCATAGATCTCAGCTTCCTCATAAGCAAATGGGATGACATTCTCTAAGAATTATCTAAGAATTTCCATAAGAATTCTGCACTCATTGGCCTTCAAGAAATTTTAGAACTTGGCCCTGCCCAGTACTTAGCATAAGAACTGAGATAAGGTCTCTACTACCCTCCAAAGGGTCATCAACCAGATGGTGAGACCAGACAGATGTCCAGAAAGTAATGAGTGACACAAAGGCCTCCCACCTCCTAAAGAGCCACCGTAACATATTCACTCAAGCAGAGCACCTGGTCAGGGAAGAGCCCAAGGTGCCTGAATGAGTGGTCAGACACAAACCACTTGCTGGCAGCCAAAGGGTAGGAGCAGAACCCTGCAGAAGGGGGTGCAGTATTCCCTGGCAGATATTCAGCTTCTTAAAAGACTATTAGGATAGCTGGTGAGTAGCCTGGGAATCCAACGTCCACTTCTTATTTCATGGAAGAGCAGGACCAGGAAGGCCAAGGGAGGCTGTGAAGAGCTCTGGCTGCTGGGGGAAATGCGTCATGGCTTCACAGTGGCAGCTGATCAGGATGGCAGAGATGGGCCTCAGTAAAAGCAGGTGACTTCAAAGGAGAGACAGGGACTGGCAGAGTGGAGACAAGATGGGGCTTGCCTTGAGGGAGAATGTCTCAGTCTTCCAGAAGCTCTGCCAACAGGCCAATCACACAGAGCCACATGAGCATCCTACATGGGAGATCACACAAGCATCCTACCTGGGAGATCACACACGACCACACAAGCATCCTACCTGGGCGATCACACATGATCACACAAGCATCCTACCTGGGAGATTACACACAACCACACAAGTGTCCTACCTGGGAGATCACACATGATCACTCGAGCCTCCTCAACTGGGAAATCATTCTGTCCAGGCAGGGCAAGGAGGGAGGAGGCATAAGCATGTCTCTGGGTACCACTCACTTGAAATGATCCTGTAACGCAACATTGAAGTCAAAGGCATCGCCTCGGTCCCCAAAGCCAACTCCAATAAATGCCCGTCGCCCTGGGGGGACAAGACACAATCAAGTCCACATTCTAGAGACAGAGGAAAACACCTTTCTCAAGAGGAGGAAGCACCAGGATTCACATTTACCGTTTCCATCTTCGATGCGAATAACGAAGTACCTGCTGGAATCTGTCACACTCTCCACAGCTGTGCCAGGAAACTGGTCCACTGGGGCCTGAGCGAAGAGCTCCCCTGAAAACAGAAGGAGTGAGCCAGGAGCCCCTCCAGCCTGAAGCTCCTATCCCACTCCTGGGGTCAGCACTTGTCCAAGCGAGGTGGCCAGCCACCTTCCTCTGGGATTCCAGTCAAACCCAGTCTTGGTGGTTGATTACCATCAATCCAACCACAGAAAGGTCTAAGTCAAAGGAGGTCATGCCCCATAAGCTTTTTTTTTAAAATCTAATTGACTTCAAACATTTCAACATCAGATTACATGTAAAATAACCCATTATTTCTGGCTTCCCTTAAAGTAAAAAGTTCTGACATCAGCAACTCAAAATATCAGACAGGAAACTTAGCCGGCAGTGACTTAGTATTAATGGGGGAGGACCAATCTGGAAAATGAAGGTGAGAATGATTGCACAACTCGAAGAATGTAATCAAAGTTGTTAAATTTACATGGAGAAACTGGTCGTGTATGTCTGCTGTATATTTTTCAATATCACCTAATAATGAAAATACATTGGTCTTTGTTACCTAGCCTTGTTATAACAGGAATATTGATAAGTGGACGGCTGTCTAAGAAACTGAAGTGTATTTTTTCACCGTTTAAGAAGTTGCAAGTTCTCACAGGAGACTAGAGCGAGGGCTGCATGGTGGAGGGGACCTGGGGGAGGGTTTGTAAAACAATGAAAGAATCTTTTCTTTTACTTTTCCATAATTTTTGGACTCATGTACTTATAACTTGTTAGTCAAATTTGTGTCTTCTAGGTTGCAACACCCCCATGATACATCTTGAAGGATATGTACATGTACAGCCAAGCACAATCAATAAGAGTGCATCTGAATTCCAAAATCAATCTCCATAATAGTCTATGTGTTTCCTACTGCCAAAGGGGCCCTTTAGAGTAGTGAGAGAAGATCTTCACCCTGAAACCCACAGCGTCCCTTTTCAGCAGGAAGTAGCTAAGAGAATACGCCATCCCCTTTTCCTTATGACTCAGGGTGAAGTCTCTCTCAGGGAGGAGTGATAGGGAATGGCAAAGGATACACTGACAAAGAAGATTAATCAGAACTGGCTTTGACAAGCACTGTGGCATTTGGACAAGAACAAACTGGGAGGAGGGTAGAGAGAATAGTGCAACAATGAATGAGTGGAAGCCCAAAATCTCTGTAAATGTTTATGAAAATTAATAAAATATAATTATAGAAAAAAAAAAAAAGAAGTTGCAAGTTCTAATTCAGAACAGCGACATCAGCGGTAGGCTTTCTCTCTTGGTCAGATCTGAGGGAAAGCTTCAAATTCTTTCTTGGGCAATCTTCATGTGCTTGGCATCTTTCTTCTCTCATCTCTCCTTGTTAGCTTGCCTGTTTATTGTTTAGTCTCTTATCTCACTAAATTAATATGCACTTTGTATTAATCTCGCCCAAAGAGTGCAACAAAAGAGCCCATTCTCAAATGAGAACACCACCACAAGTGTGTTGATATTAGGTACCATCAAGTCAGTACCATCTCACAGGTCCTACACAGCAGAATGAAATCATGCCCTGTCCCGCACCACCCTGACAGCCTCTGACGCCTATGGTGCAGACACTGCGTTCATTCACTTCACGGAGGTTTTCCTCTTGTTCAACAACCCTTTACTTTATCAATCATGCTGCTGCCGTCTTTCTCCAGGATCTGTGCTCTCCTGATAACATGTCTAAAAACATGAAAGGCAATCTTGTCATTCTTACTGCTAAGAAACACTTCTAAGAAATACTTCTTCTAAGAGAGACTTGTTTGTTCTGGCAGACCATGGTTTATTTAATATTCTTCACCAACACCACAATTCAGGCATCAATTCTTCAGCTAAGATTTATATTATCTGGGGAGAGGTGGACATAATTCAATCTATCACAAGCACACACACACACACACACACATACATGCTTTAAAAAAAAAACCGCTAAAAGTTCTACTAAATCTGGTACATGAGAATGATAGGCAGAAAGCCCCATTCTGCGTGCTTCAGCCATTCATATTACCTGCCAAGACCCTTGGGGTCCGAAGCCAGGCTCTCAGGTACTGGTTTACTTCAGTGTTGGAGACGGGGAGTTTGACTGGCTTTATGGATTCTTTCATCAACTACAGATCTTCATGGTACAGCATACCCTTGATGAGCTTCAGTGACTGATGTTATTATCCCATGTGCTGACCTCGTTAGTGCTTGAGTGTTTAACCAAGTATTTTCTACTGGGTTGTTGGGTCCTGTGATTCAAAAGTGACTGTGTGATCAAAGCTGATGAACTGAATCAAAACCAAAGGGACTAGAGCCTGCAGCTTCGATCAGTGTTTCTTGCTCTGGCCTTCAGCCCAAAGCAGAGGATCTCACTAGGGAGGATTACAGTCTTCTTCCTTCTCTAAGGACATCTGGCAATGTCTGGAGATATTTTTAGCTGTCAAAACTTGGAGGAATGCTGCAGGCATTCTGTGGGGCCAGGGATGAGAAATATCCTACAATACCACATCAGTCATTCCTCTGGCTCCAAATGTCAACAGGACGGAGGCTGAGACTCCCTGGCCTAGAGTGATACACTCATTATCTCACTGGAATGACCCCCACCTCTATTACGGTGGCTCCTCAAGCTGAGACTCTGCCTTCAACAGCGATGGTGATCCCAGGTAGTCATGTCAGTCATAGTCCCAAAGACCTCCAGAAGATGGGAGGGCTGCCATATTCCCTTGTGGCATTATGTTGGATATTCTGGCAATTCTTACGGAAAGAGTTCTTTCCCAACTGCCCAGCAGCCAGTATTGATCCTGCCAACTCCATGTTTCAGAACAAACTAGTGTCTGGGGTCACGTTGCATTTCATAAAGCAATCTGATGAATATCTACTCATTTGTTTTCTCCAGCAGTGTTGGGCAAAAGGAATTAACACACTCTCCATTACAACAAAGAGGCCAATGTGCTGGAAGTCACAAAGCTTGCCCAAGGTCTCACAGCTCAGTCGGGAGCACTGCAGTTATGAGAAGAGGCAGCCAGTTCTGCTTTGAAATCTCTGCACTTTTTTCCATCTTATAAAGGAAAATCTTTACCCACCGAAAATAATTTACAACCAAATTCTGGGGGACCACACTGAGAAGGCACTTAACGCGGGCTCTGGGGCTGGGACTGTTCTCAGTAGTGCTATCCTCACAGCTCACTCAGAGGCACTGGTGGGGCACGGCTTCCGAGAGATTTCCTCAAAGGTGACATCTGTCAGCTGACCCCAATTCTGCCCTAGATTTGCTTTTCCTCTGACAGAGAGAAAGAGAGAGAGAGAGAGAGAGAGAGAGAGAGAGAGAAGAGACCAGGAGAGATGCCGGCCTTGCGTTATCATTTAGCAGATAAACAAAATTCCTGAGGAAGGATCAGGACTCGGGCAGCAGGGGGCTGTGCACTTCCATCCTGTCTTCAAGGCAAACAAGCGCCAGGGCTTCCTCTGAAGAACAACCTGCAGGCCTTCCCTCCCTTGGCCTCAAAAACAAATTCTTTTCCTAAAGACTTGAAAATAAATGGGTGCTTCACAGAAGCCCTCCATTTTATACCTGCGGACAGTGTTTTCTACAACAAAGGCTGCCAGATGGCAGCTTAAAGAAAATGGGATGTGTGATTGCCAGAAGTTTCCATGAACCTCGAGTGGCATGGCCAGGCCCCGACCTTTCCCCATGTAAGAAACAGGAGCTGTGGCCCCTCATTCCCCTACAGGTCTCCTATGCCTTTACCTGAGGTCCTGTCCTCTAGCTTGATGTAGGCCACCTGCCCTTTTGCAGTGATCCGAAGGCGGCCACTCCACGATGGCTGGTCCAGCTGCCATTCCGCGGCCCTAAGGGGACAAAACCCATTAAGCCACCGCTGGAGGCTCCTGCTTCGACACCGGAGCCACGGAAAACAAAGAGAAGGGTATGTGTGCTAGTTCTAGGTCAGGAGATGGCAGTGCTTTTCTGTAAAAGAGCAGGAAGTATTTTTTTAATTTGTTTCTGTTGCCAATACTCAATTGTTGTATTATAGTTTGAAAGCAGTCACAAATCCGCGAACACATTGGTGCTTTGAACATTGTAATCAAATAGTTTCTACGGAGCCTGGCTGTATTTCAATAAAAGTTTATGGGCAAACAAAATAAAACAAACAAAAAACTTTATGGCCAATAAAATCTGAATTTCATAAAACTTTTGTGTCATGGAATATTCCTTTTTTAAATATTGTTCAAATACTTCACTAATACTGTCACTACCCGCGCTTCTCTGTTTATAGGGTTTTCAAAGGCCTGTTTTTTTCAGAAGTAGATGGCCGATCCTTCTTCCTACTCTGTCTTACTCTAGGAGCTCTGTTGCAAACTCTCTACAATGGGTGTCTCTATATTGCCAAGTTATGGTGGCCAGACGCCTTGGGATAAAAAGCAGAGAGGAGAATAATCAATAATAAGAAAAAGGAGAGAACCAGTATATGTGGGAAGAGAGAATGAGTCCTCCAAAAATACATTCTCAAAGGTGCCCGTGGCAGAAAGCAAGTCAAAAACCATGGACCTACAACTACCTCTTTTAAAGACCTTCACGTTTCAGTTCTAAAAGGAACTTGGTGAAACCCCAAATAGCAACACCCTTGGGAGTTTCCAGCAGGCTTTTCTTGGAAATTTCAAAGCATGGGCCAGTTCTCAAGAACTCATGAGACATCCTAACTGCAGACACAGGTTGTTTCGCGAGACACAAATGCAAAATCTCAACTCACAATTCAGCAGACTGAGTTTCAGTTCCCCTCACTGAGGCCACGGACAAGCGCTTCAGCCTAGGCAGGGCTGAGGCTAACATGTAGAGCCTAGAAGTTTCCTCTCTGCCATTCCAGCCAGCCCTGACCCTTGCTCGCCTGGTAATCTCATTCTCTAGAGGTCAAGAAGGCCCCTCCCAATCAATGTTCCTAAAGACCCCAAAGATGGATCCGATTGATAACTATCCTGGCTTACAGACCTATTCACAGTTTGATATGTTCCAGGATATCACCCTTATCTCCAAATTGTAGAAAAAGCAGTGGTAAGAAGCTGTACTGCAATCTAGAAGGCATGCAGTTCTAATCTACCAGCTGCTCTGTGGGAGAAGGATGGGCAATCTCCTCCCATTCATTACTTGCCTCTGAAAACCCACTAGAGAGTCAGCTTTGGGATGGGTTTGCACTCCACAGCAAACAACAACTTGTTACTATTGTTATTTTTAAACTATTTCAAAATTATGTCATGGATGTATCAGCTCTTTAACAAGAGGTCTGAAAGGGCACACTCCCCTGTTCCTGTGGTGCAGGCCAATTGTGTATTCCTAAATGACTAGGACGAACTCTGTCATCATCGCTGTCCACACCTGAAATTATCACCATTCCCACAACACCAAATGGCACAAAACAGCCACAGGCCAGGTTGTTTGTATCAGGTGTCCTGTTTTTGTTCAATATTTTCATTTTCTTTTGTTAGGGAACACACACACACAGAGACAAATGCAAACAGGGGCTGGGGGTGGTAGGGTGGGGGGAGATGTACAGAATGAAAGGAAATCTCCTTGGAAGCCCTTCCTCTCTCCTCCAGGAGTTTTCAGAGTTCCCTTCCCCAAATACTCTACACTGTTTACTGTCTACTCAGGGGAGCATTTCATCAGAGAAGGGCACTTGGATTTCTCTCCACCTCTTACAGATGGTGATCAGGGAAGAAATTAGTGAGGAGGGAGCAGGGCTGGGAGGGGCTCTGGGGTTCTGGCATCTTTTTTAAAACTCCCTGGGACAGGCCCTTTCAGCTGGTTCACGGCTCCCTTCCTTCCCCTTGGGGATTTCCGCCGGATGACAGGATCCTTCACCCTTTGAAAGCTTTTCAAGGATCCCTGCAAGGCCATGGCTAAGAAAAACAACACACACACACACCCTCGCCAAGTGTAGGGAACCTAGTACACACCTTGCGAGTTTAGGGAACGCAACACACCCCGGCCAAATTTAGGGTAACTGGCACATATAGACACACCCCAGCCAAGCTGAGGGTAACCAACACACACACACACACACACACACCCCACCCCACACCTAGCAAGTTTAGGGAACGCACATACACCCCGGCCAAATTTAGGGTAACTGGCACATACACACACACCCCGGCCAAGTTGAGGGTAACCAACAGACACACTGACAGTCACACACACACACACCCCGGCCAAGGTTAGGGTACACCCCCCACTCTGGCCAAGTTTAGGGTACACCACACACACACTCCTCCGGCCAGGTTTAGGGTAACTAACACACCGACACACACACCCCTGTGTCAAGTTTAGGGTAACACCTCCCCCACACACCCCCTGGGTCAAGTTTAGGGTGACACACACACACAAGCCGCTCAAGTTTAGGATAACACCTCCCCCTCCACCCCACCCCACCCCCAGCTAAGATCCCTAAAGCCTGGGTCTCCCGGCCTCGCACTGGACGCAATGGCAGCATACTCTCCCCCTTAGCCCTTAAACTGGCTGGGACCCGTCCACGGTTCCTGCAGTGGGTGTGTCGGGGCAGGAGTTACTTAGGGCTATCGCCTGGCCAAGAGCATGGTGGTCACCTGTAGCCCCGGTTGGTGGCCCGCGGCGGGATGCGGTAGACGTGAACCTCCGGCTTGACACAGAGAACCGACTCGTACGCGGTCTCCTCCATCGCGACACCCGGAGCCGCTGGACTTCCGGCTTCTTCCCTGCCGCGGGGACAGCAGCCTCGCGACTCTATGACCAGACTCTGGCTAGAGAGGCGACTCGCCACCCCCAGGGCGATAGCGCCCCTGCGCCCTCTGCTGGAACCTCTGGGTCAAGACAAGAAGCGCACGGATCCGCGGGGCTCACCAACCAGATAAGGTCTGGTTGCCTGATGATTCCGCTCAACTCCACTCTTACACCTTTGGGTGTCCCGCTGGCTGAGACTACAGCTGTAACCACCCTCTCCTCAAGAAATTTAAATTGTCCACTGTTTCATCTTACTAGGATCCACAATCAAGTCCCACCCTTGGTACCAGCAGTCAAGAGATCAGGAGACATATTGCATTGGAAAAGTCTGCAGTCAGGGATTGCTCCAAATTATTGAGAAGCAATACCAATTTGAAAACTAAGGTGTGCCTGATTCAGGCCAAGGTCTTTGTTTGTTTAGGCCATGGTCTTTTCAATTATCTGAAAGGATGTTGTTGTTGCTGTTGAGGTCTGAACGGATTCATAGCTGATTCTCCAGCGTTTTTCAGAGATAGTTTAATTTGCATGGACGGAGATTGTTTTCTCTCATGGAGCAGCTGGAGGATTCAAAACACAAGCTTTTGTGTTGGCAGCGCAATTTCTGAGGAGCTTCTAAATTGGAATAACTGGGTTTGGCGAAAGCAGGAGTTATGTTGTTGTTGTTGTTGTTGTTAGGTGCCGTGGAGTCTAGTACGACTTATAGCAACCCTATGAACAAACAATCCAAACCCTCTTCTGTCCTGTGCCATCCTCACTCTTACTGACCCACAAGAGCCCTTTGCAGCAGTCACCGTGTCAATCCATTTGGTCGAGGCTCTTCTCCTTCACCAACCGTCCACCCTTCCCAGCATCACAACATGCCCAGAGTATGTGAGAGGAAGCCTCATCATTCTTGCCTCCAAAGACCCGTTCATGAAATGTTCAGTGCTCATCTCCAACACCACAGCTCAAAGGTGTCAATTTTTTTGTCATCTTTATTCATTGTCCAGCTCTCAGTTGCATACATACCAAGTGATAGGAAAGAGTATGTATGGCCCTAGTCAGACTCACCTTAGTCTTCAAATTGACACCATTACTCATGAATAATTTGGAGAGCTCCCTAACTGCAGATTTTCCCAGTGCAATGAATCTCCATATTTTCTGACTCCTGGTACCAAGGGTGTTAACTGATTATTGATGATTCTCCCTCCAATCCTGATGCCACACCCCTCTTCATAGAGTCCAGTTTCTCGGATAATTTGCTCAGTATACAGATTGAATAGGCATGGAGAGAGAATACAACTCTGCTGCACTCCCTTCTTAATTTTAAGGCATGCACTGCTCCCCTACTCTGTTTGCACCATAGTCTCCCGGTCTAGGTATAGGTTCCACATGAGCACAATTAAGTGCTCTGGGGCTCCCATTCTTCTCACTGTCATCCTCCCCTTTTTAGGATCCATGCAGACAAATGCCTTTGCATAGTCAATGAAGCATAACTAGACATTCTTCTGGTATTCCTTAATTTCAGCCAGGATCCATCTGACATCAACAATGATATCCCTGGTGCCAGAGAAGAGTGATACTTTTTTTCCCTTTTATTTTTTTCTTTTCATTTTTTCACTTCTGGGTAAAATACATTTACATTGAGAATGTTGGGTCATATGGTAACTCTGTATTCAACTTTTGGCCTGACAACCAGATTAATGTATCTCTAGTGACTGCACTCTGAGAAACAACAATAGTTATAGAAAGGCTTCAAGTCTTTTGTTCATAGAGTCACTGACTTATGCTCGACTCGACAATCAACAACAATGACTGCACAGCCTGCTGAGCATGCCCTGGGTTTCATCTGTTTGTTGAACTACGTCAATTGTATCCCTTCAGTTCCTGGGGCCTTATTTTTTCCTAGTGCCTTCAGGGCAGTTTGAATATCTCTCTATATTGCCATTGGTTCATGATCCTAAGCTACTTCCTGAAATGGTTCTCTATCAGCTAATTCTTGGTACAGTGACTTGTGTGTTCCTTCCATCTTCTTTTGAAGTTTTCCTCAAGATTTTGCCTTTCTCCATATCTTTTGCAATCTACATACAGAATAGATCATTCAAGAAGCTGGACTTTATGAAGAAGAATTTGGCAACAGGAGGAAGACTAATGAACAACTTGTGTTACACAGATGAGAGACAAACTTGCTTCCTGAAACTGAGGAGGACTTGAAGTGCTTGCTGGCTGCAGAAAATTATGGCCTACAGCTTCCAATATGGGTTGCATCTCAAAATAAAAAAAACCAGAAATCCTCACCAGTGGGCCAATAGGGAGCATCATGATATATGGAGAAAGGATTGAAGTGTTAAAGATTTTTATCTTGCTCAAATTCACATTCTACATCCTTGGCACCAGCAGTCAGAAAATTAAAGTTGCATTGGGATAATCATTAGGCACAGAGTCCTTGGAGGTCTCCAAGTAGGCAGGAGGTACCTGTGAAGTCAACTGGAGGCCACCATGATAATTTGATTGCTATGATCACTGGGCTCACAGCTTTCCCTGTCAGGTCTGCTGGCCAAGCAGTGTTGGCCCAGATCCATATTTCAGCAACATATGTGAGTGATGTCTTCACTTGCATCCCAGGACACTGAGCACAGGAATATCACAAAGATTAACCCTTCACACAGCCAAGGCCAGAAAAATACTGACTCCTCCAATCTTCAAGGGCCTCTGGTGGCCTAGAGGGAAGGAGTTGTACTGGCAACAAAAGAGTGGTAGTTGGAATCCATTGACTTTGCTGAAGAAAAATGGGTAATCTCTTCCCACTGTGATTTGCATGCTCTGATGATCTATTGTGAGTTCAAGTTATTAATCTGTTCCAATTTACTGGCACTTAACAAAAACAACAAACATACAAGTGTTTGGTTTTAGAAAGATACCAGTGGTCTTTTCAACTTAGGGTTTTAGATGCTCTGTCTTCACAGATGCTCATGCTAATGTTGTGTTTCCATTATACCATCTTTTAATTGTATAAATGCTTGTGAAACTCAATGCTATGTAATTATGGTTTCACACACACACACACACACACACACACACACAATGTATTGTTCTCTTATATCTTTAGGCTGCATAGTTTTCTTTTAGTGCTTCTTTCTTTCATTAATGCTGCATTGATTACTGTGTGTATAAAAACATTCAATAATTGACACATCAAAATTATTAATCTGCCTCTTACTCATAATTTGACACTGATTAAGTTTCTTCTCTCACTATGAAAAATCTGCACTAAGTAGTTTTTATAATTCCTTTCTCCTGCTTTGCATAAACTTTTCAATCTGATGATCTTAGATATAAGCTGGCCCATCTATCTGGCTAAAGTGATAAGGACTTAAAGTACTTACTGAAGAAGATCAGAGATTATAGCTTCAGTATCTTAAGATCAAGGAAACAAAAATCTTCATAATTGGACCAATAGGCAACATCATGATTTTTTTAAAAAGGCTAAAGTTGTCGATTATTTTATTTACTTTGGATCTAACAATCAACGCCCATGGAAGCAGCAGTCAAAAAATCAAATGATGTATTGTGGTTGTTATGTGCCATCAAGTCGCTTGCGACTCATAGTGACCCTGTGTACAAGAGCCCTAAACGCTGTTCTATCCTGTGCCAACCTAGCCATCTCAAACGCACTCATTCCCAGCACTACAGTCACAGAATTGATCCATCTCATCAAAGGTCGTCCTCTCCTGGGCTGCCTCTCTACTCTTCCAAACATGATGTCCCTCTCCAAGGACCAGTCCTTCCTTGGAACATGCCCAAAGTATGTCAGACGAAGCTTCAGAATCCTTGACTCCAAGGAGCATTCCTGCTTCACCTTCTCCAGGACAAACCTGTTTGTTCTCCTAGCAGTCCATGGTACATTCAATACTCTTCTTCAGCACCACAGCTCAAAGGTATCAATTCTCTTTTTATCATCTCTATTCACTGTCCAACTCTCTAATGCATAGCACGCAATTGCGAAGACTATAGCCCGGATCAGGCACACCTTAGTCTCCAGCCTGATGTCGTTGCTCTTCAGTACTCTTGAGAGGTCCCTCACAGCTGAATTTCCCAATGCAATTCGTTTCTTGATTTCCTGGCTGCTGTTACTAAGAGTGTTGATTGTGAAGCCAAGTAAACTAAAACTGTTAACTATCTCAATCTCTTCACCATCCATACTGATGTTGTCAATTGGCCCAGTTGTTTTCTTGATGTTGAACTTCAATCCATATAGAAGGCTGCAGTCCTTGACCTTCTGCAGCAAGCACTTCAGGACCTCTTCAGTTTCAGCAAGCAGGGTTGTGTCATCTGCATAATTCAGGTTGTTGATGACTCTTCCACCAATCCTGATGCCACATTCTTCCTTGTACAGCCCAGCATCGTGGATGATCTGTTCTGCATACAGATTGAAAAGGTATGGAGACAAAATACATCCCTGATGAACCCCCTTCTTTATTTTGAACCATGTAATGTTTCCCTGCTCTGTTCTGATGACTGCCTCTTGGTCCAAGTATAGGTTTCGCATTAGTGCAATCAAATGTTCTGGGATTCCCATCCTTCTCAGAGTCAGCCATAGCTTGTTGTGATCTCTTTAAAATGCTAATGAGGTCATTTTAAAGACTATGGTGAGAGAACCAAGATGGCAGAGGTGGAAGAAACAATGTAAAGAGCTGCAGGAGCAGCAAACTGCATAGAAATGGGCCACCATAGCCCCCCGTAGTCCTGTTTATGAGAACAGAACAATAAAACAGTTGATTACTGGGCTTCAATATGGATCGAGGCTCAACATCAAGAGATCAAAGACTCCCAAAATAAGAATGGGTGAGTCTCACCGCTCCCAGCCCTCCAATGCTGAGCCCATGCCACTCAGCTCCATGAGGCCTCTGTGGCCAGACCGTGGAGAGTCCCTTATCTGGTTTGGATGGTGGGCGTCAGGCCCCGAAGCTGGTATAACGGAGCCTCAACACTGCCGCAGAATAAACTTATTTTAAAATAAATTCTTGG